GAAACACTAAAAGAAGAGGTTTAGGAAGAAAGAGGAGAAGAAGAAGAAACAAGAAAAAGAAGAAGGAAAGAAAAGAAGAAGAAGAAGAAGAAGAAGAAGAAGAAAAAGAAAAAGAAAAAAGAAGAGGTTTAAGGCAAAAACAGGAGAAGAAGAAGAAGAAGAAGAAACACTAAAAGAAGAGGTTTAGGAAGAAAAAGAAGAAGAAGAAGAAGAAGAAGAAGAAGAAACACTAAAAGAAGAGGTTTAGAAGGAAAGAAGAAGAAGAAGAAGAAGAAGAAGAAGAAGAAGAAACAAAAAGAACAGGTTTCAAGGCAAAGAAGAAGAAGAAGAAGAGACACTAAAAGAAGAGGTTTAGAAGCAAAGAAGAAGAAGAAAAGAAGAAGAAGAAAAACAAAAAGAAGAGGTTCAGAAGGAATAACGAAGTAGAAGAAACACAAAAAGAAGAGGTTTAGAAGCAAAATAGGAGAAGAAGAAGAAGAAGAAACTAAAAAGAAGAGGTTTAGAAGCAAAGAAGAAGAAACACAAAAAGAAGAGGTTTAGAAGCAAAATAGGAGAAGAAGAAGAAGAAGAAACACTAAAAGAAGAGGTTTAGAAGCAAAGAAGAAGAAGAAACACAAAAGAAGAGGTTTAGAAGCAAAAAGGAGAAGAAGAAGAAGAAACACTAAAAGAAGAGGTTTAGAAGCAAAGAAGAAGAAGAAACACAAAAAGAAGAGGTTTAGAAGCAAAATAGAGAAGAAGAAGAAGAAGAAAAACACTAAAAGAAGAGGTTTAGAAGCAAAGAAGAAGAAGAAACACAAAAAAGAAGAGGTTTAGAAGCAAAATAGAGAAGAAGAAGAAGAAGAAACACTAAAAGAAGAGGTTTAGAAGCAAAGAAGAAGAAGAAACACAAAAAAAAGAAGGGTTTAGAAGCAAAAAGGAAGAAGAAGAAAACACTAAAAGAAGAGGTTTAGAAGCAAAATAGAAGAAGAAGAAGAAGAAACACTAAAAGAAGAGGTTTAGAAGCAAAGAAGAAGAAAAAACACAACAAGAAGAGGTTTAGAAGCAAAATAGGAGAAGAAGAAGAAGAAACACTAAAAGAAGAGGTTTAGAAGCAAAGAAGAAGAAACACAAAAAGAAGAGGTTTAGAAGCAAAATAGGAGAAGAAGAAGAAGAAGAAACACTAAAAGAAGAGGTTTAGAAGCAAAGAAGAAGAAGAAACACAAAAAGAAGAGGTTTAGAAGCAAAATAGGAGAAGAAGAAGAAGAAACACTAAAAGAAGAGGTTTAGAAGCAAAGAAGAAGAAGAAACACAAAAAGAAGAGGTTTAGAAGCAAAATAGGAGAAGAAGAAGAAGAAGAAACACTAAAAGAAGAGGTTTAGAAGCAAAGAAGAAGAAGAAACACAAAAAGAAGAGGTTTAGAAGCAAAATAGGAGAAGAAGAAGAAGAAGAAACACTAAAAGAAGAGGTTTAGAAGCAAAGAAGAAGAAGAAACACAAAAAGAAGAGGTTTAGAAGCAAAATAGGAAGAAGAAGAAGAAGAAACACTAAAAGAAGAGGTTTAGAAGCAAAATAGGAGAAGAAGAAGAAGAAGAAACACTAAAAGAAGAGGTTTAGAAGAAGAAGAAGAAGAAACACAAAAAAGAAGAGGTTTAGAAGCAAAAATAGGAGAAGAAGAAGAAGAAGAAGAAACACTAAAAGAAGAGGTTTAGAAGGAAAGAAGAAGAAAGAAGAAGAAGAAGAAACAAAAAGAAGAGGTTTCAAAGCAAAGAAGAAGAAGAAGAAAGACACTAAAAGAAGAGGTTTAGAAGCAAAATAGAAGAAGAAGAAGAAGAAGAAAAAACAAAAGAAGAGGTTTAGAAGGAAAACGAAGAAGAAGAAACACTAAAAGAAGAGGTTTAGAAGCAAAATAGGAGAAGAAGAAGAAGAAGAAGAAGAAACACTAAAAGAAGAGGTTTAGAAGCAAAGAAGAAGAAGAAACACAAAAAGAAGAGGTTTAGAAGCAAAATAGGAGAAGAAGAAGAAGAAGAAGAAGAAACACTAAAAGAAGAGGTTTAGAAGCAAAGAAGAAGAAGAAACACAAGAAGAAGAGGTTTAGAAGCAAAATAGAAGAAGAAGAAGAAGAAGAAGAAGAAGAAACACTAAAAGAAGAGTTTTAGAAGGAAAAGAAGAAGAAGAAGAAGAAGAAAAAAAAGAAGAGGTTTCAAAGCAAAAACGAAGAAGAAGAAGAGACACTAAAAGAAGAGGTTTAGAAGCAAAAAGAAGAAGAAGAAGAAGAAACAAAAAAAAGAGGTTTAGAGAAAGAAGAAGAAGAAAAGGTTTAGAAGGAAAAAAAGAAGAGGTTTAGAAGCAAAATAGGAGAAGAAGAAGAAGAAACACTAAAAGAAGAGGTTTAGAAGCAAAAAGAAGAAGAAACACAAAAAGAAGAGGTTTAGAAGCAAAATAGGAGAGAAGAAGAAGAAGAAAAACACTAAAAGAAGAGGTTTAGAAGCAAAAAAGAAGAAGAAACACTAAAAGAAGAGGTTTAGAAGCAAAATAGGAGAAGAAGAAGAAGAAGAAGAAACACTAAAAGAAGAGGTTTAGAAGCAAAGAAGAAGAAGAAACACAAAAGAAGAGGTTTAGAAGCAAAATAGGAGAAGAAGAAGTAGAAGAAGAAGAAACACTAAAAGAAGAGGTTTAGAAGAAAAGAAGAAGAAAAAAAGAAAAAGAAGAGGTTTAGAAGAAAAAAGAGAAGAAGAAGAAGAAGAAAAGAAACAAAAAGAAGAGGTTTAGGAAGCAAAGAAAAGAAAAGAAGAAAAACACAAAAAGAAGAGGTTTAGAAGCAAAAATATAGAAGAAGAAGAAGAAGAAGAAGAAGAAGAAAAACACTAAAAGAAGAGGTTTAGAAGCAAAAAGAAGAAGAAGAAACACAAAAGAAGAGGTTTAGAAGCAAAATAGAGAAGAAGAAGAAGAAGAAACAAAAAAGAAGAGGTTTAGAAGGAAAAGAAGAAGAAGAAGAAGAAGAAGAAGAAGAAGAAAAGGAAGAAGAAGAGGGTTTGAAGCAAAACAACGTTGCTCATGAAACACAAAGAAGAAGAAGAAGAAACAAAAAGAAGAGGTTTAGAAGCAAAAGAAGAAGAAAAGAAGAAACACAAAATGAAGAAGAAGAAAGAAGAAGAAGAAGAAACCCAAAAGAAGTGGTTTAGAAGCAAAAAGAAGAAAGAAGAAGAAACAGAAAATGAAGAGGTTTAGAAGCAAAGAAGAAGAAGAAGAAGAGGTTTAGAAGCAAAATAGGAGAAGAAGAAGAAGAAACAAAAAAAGAAGAGGTTTAGAAGCAAAGAAGAAGAAGAAACACAAAAAGAAGAGGTTTAGAAGCAAAATAGGAGAAGAAGAAGAAGAAGAAGAAGAAGAAACACTAAAAGAAGTCGTTTAGAAGCAAAGAAGAAGAAGAAACACAAAAAGAAGAGGTTTAGAAGCAAAATAGGAGAAGAAGAAGAAGAAGAAACACAAAAAGAAGAGGTTTAGAAGGAAAGAAGAAGAAGAAGAAGAAGAAGAAGAAGAAGAAAAGGAATAGACCCTAAAAGAAGAGGGTTTGAAGCAAAACAACGTTGCTCATGAAACACAAAGAAGAAGAAGAAGAAACCCAAAAAGAAGAGGTTTAGAAGCAAAGAAGAAGAAAGAAGAAGAAACACAAAATGAAGAGGTTTAGAAGCAAAGAAGAAGAAGAAGAAACCCAAAAAGAAGTGGTTTAGAAGCAAAGAAGAAGAAAGAAGAAGAAACACAAAATGAAGAGGTTTAGAAGCAAAGAAGAAGAAGAAGAAACACAAAATGAAGAGGTTTAGAAAAAAGAAGAAGAAGAAGTAGAAGAAACACAAAAAGAAGAAGAAGAAGAAAAAGAAGAAGAAGAAGAAGAAGAAGAAGAAGAAGAAGAAGAAAAGGAATAGACCCTAAAAGAAGATGGTTAGAAGCAAGACAACGTTGCTCATGAATTTAAGTATTAGATTTTGACTGAGTCAATTGAAAACGTCAGTCGCATAAATCGACTATAAAATCACCAGGGATATTGAATTCGTTTGGATTAAAGAAAAAGTCGCAGTGAAAGAAAACAATTGTTTGGCTTAGTTGCATTGTATTGTTTAATTCAATTTGCCCTTTGACATTGTCATAGGCTCGTATATAATGTGGCGGGAAAATTGGTTTGCAGACGATGGCAATTCTATTTCTGAGTTAAAATCACTGTTGGGTAAGACAGAACTTGTGTTATAAATACTAATTTTTAGAGCGTAACTCTAATGACCCTTCCAGTTACGTACACATTAGACGCCCTTTACCCTTCCCTAATTAGATTCTTGGATTTCAAAAAAAAGAGCAATTTTGATTCGGATGTGTAAACAAATGTTATCACGGGAAATCATATATTTTTGGGAGTTTGAAATGATAAATGCTTTGGGATTTTATGAAGACGGGCCAGTTCAGCCCTAGAAACGGTTTTGGGGAATTATGGACAAAGAAATGGATATTGAATGAAATAGGTGAATATAAAAAGAAAGAAAGAAAAAAAAGAAAGAAAGAAAGAAAGAAAGATACGATAAAGTAACAAAATGAACGAAATAGAATGTCAGGTAAAAAAAAAAAAAAAAAGAAATGACAAGAAAGAAAGAAAGAAAGAAACAAACAAAGATACGATAAATTAAAAAAGAACGAAATAGATGTCAGGTAAAAAGTAATGATAAGAAAGAAAGAAAGAAAGAAAGAAAGAAAGAAAGAAAGAAACAAACAAACAAACAAACAAACAAACAAAGAAAGAAAGATACGATAAATTAAAAAAGAACGAAATAGATGTCAGGTAAAAAAGAAATGATCAGAAAGAAATAAAGAAAGAAACAAACAAAGAAAGAAACAAAGAAAGAAAGAAGAAAGATAAAGTAACAAAAAGAACGAAATAGAATGTCAGGCCAAAAAAAAAAAAAAAAAAAAAAAAAAAAAAAAGAAAGGGCGATGAAGTAACAAAAGAACGAAATAGAGTGCCACGTAAAAAAGAAGAGATCAGAAAGAAGAAAGAAAAAAGAAAGAAAAAGTAACAAAAAGAACGTTATAGAATGTCAGGCAAAAAAAGAAGTGATAAGAAAGAAAGAAAGAAAGAAAGAAAGAAAGAAAGAAAGAAAGAAAGAAAGAAAGCTAAAGTAACAAAAATTAAAAAGAATGTAGAATTTTAGGCAAAAAAGAAATGATAATAAACAAGGAAGGAAGGAAGGAAAGAAATTAAGAAAGAAAGAAAGAAAGAAAGAAAGTTACGATAAAGTAACAAAAAGAACGAAATAGAATGTCAGTAAATTAAGAAATGGCCAGGAAGAAGAAAATAAATGAAGAAAGAAAGAAAGGCAGAAAGAATGAAAGATAATAGAAAATGACGAAAAGAAGGAAATGTAATGTCAGTAAAAATAATAAATGGTCAGAAGAAATAATGAATGAATGAAAGAAAGAAAGAATGAAAGAAAGAGATTATCAGGAGGCAAGGAGTAAGAAAATGAAAGCAAGTAAGAAAGAAAGACTTTGAAAGAAAAGAGAATGAATGAAAGAATAAACGAAAAAAACAAAAAAACAAACAAAGTATAAAATTAAAAAAAGAAATAATGAAAGACTGAAAAAGAGAAAAGAGAAATAAAAACAAACAAGAAAGAAAGAATATAACGAAGGAAAGAATAATATAAAAAAGATGGAACATAACTCAAAGAAACTGAAAACAAGGAAGAAAGAAGGAAAGAAAAATAATTTGAAAAGAAATAAAAAGAAATAAAGAATGAACAAAAGCTAAAGTAAAAAAGAAGGGAAAGAATTAATGGAAAATAATCCAAAAGATAGAAAAAAAATGGAGGAAAATAAAATGAAACAAAGAAAAAATAAAAAGTAAGAAAGAAAGAAAGAAAGAAAGAAAGAAAGAATAGGTTACTTGGTGTATTAGAAAGAAAGAAAGAAAGAGAAGTGCAGACGAACGAATGAAAAAGAAGCAAGAAGAAAGAAAGAAAGAAAGAAAGAAAGAAAGATACGATAAAGTAAAAAAAAAGAACGAAATATAATGTCAGTCCAAAAATAAAGAAATGATCAGGAAGAATAAAGAAAGAAAGAAAGGAAAATGAATTCACATGAGAAAGAAATGTTAATTTTAAAACAACAAAGAAAATAATAAAATCAGATGAAATATAAAATTTAAATAAAAAGAAAGAAAGAAAATAACGAAAGAAGTAAAAATAAAATGAAAACAAGGAAGTAAGAAGGAAAAAAATCTGACAAAGAAAAAAAAAAGACTAAAATAAAAATATGGAAAGAAAGAATAAAATCATAAGATATAAATAAAAAAGAAAGAAAAGAAAGAAAAACCGCAGTTAAATTAATAAGAAAGACAGCAAATAAGAATGAAAAGTTAAATTCAAAACAACGAAAATTAATAAAAACAGATGACATATATAAGTAAATTACAAAGAAAGAAAATTAAATAAAAAGAAATATAAAGAAAGGCGAAAATAAGAAAAGAACGAAAAATATTATGAAAAGAAAGAAACAAATGAAAAGAATGAAAGAAAAATATGTCAAGAAAAAATAAAATCAAAAGAAAAATATAACGAAAGAATAAATCTCAATTAAAGAAAGAAAGCCATAAAAAAGTAAGGCTAAATTCCAATTAAGAAAGAAAGACATGAAGAAAAAAAGAAAGAATATATCAAAATTAAAGAAATAAATATTAATCCCAATTAAAGAAAGACAGAAAGACATACAGAAAGGAAAAATAATCACAGTTAAAGAAAGAAAGAAAGACATAATTAAAGAAAGAAAGAAAAAACTAAATCCCAATTAAAGAAAGAAAGAAAAAACATAAAGAAAGAATAAATCCTAATTAAAGAACGAACGACATATAGAAAGAAAGAATAAATCCCAATTAAAGAAAGAAAGAAAAACAAGGAAAGGCTAAATCCCAATTAAGAAAGAAAGACATAAAGAAAAAAAGAAAGAATAAATCCTAATGAAAGAAAGAAAGATTAATCCCAATTTACGAAAGAAGAGGTTTAGAAGCGAAGAAGGAGGAGAAGAAGAAACACAAAAAGAAGAGGTTTAGAAGCAAAGACATAAAGAAAGGAAGAAAGAAAGAAAGAAAAGAAAGAAAGAAAGAAGAAAGTAAGAATTAATCATAATTAAAGATAGAGAGAAAGAAAGACATAAAGAAAGGAAGAATAAATCTCAAGGTTTTAAAGGAAGAAAGACAATAAAGAAAGAAAGAAAGAAAGAATAAATCATAAAAAAAGAAAAAAGAAAAAAGAAAAAAGAAAGAAAAAACAAAAAAGAATAAATCATAATTAAAGAAAGAAAACAAAAGAAATAAAGAAAAGAAAGAATAAATCTCAATTAAAGAAAAAGAAAATTAAAGAAAGAAAGAAAGAAAAGAAAAAAAAACATAAAGAAAGAATAAATAATTAAAGAACGAAAACATAAAGAAAGAAAGAAAAGAAAAATTCAAATTAAAGAAAGAATGAAGAAAGAAAGAAAGAAAGAAAGAAAAGAAAGAAAGAAAGAAGAAAGTAAGAATTAATCATAATTAAAGATAGAGAGAAAGAAAGACATAAAGAAAGGAAGAATAAATCTCAGTTAAAGGAAGAAAGACATAATTAAAGAAAGAAAGAAAGACTAAATCCCAATTAAAGAAAGAAAGAAAAAACATAAAGAAAGAATAAATCCTAATTAAAGAACGAAAAACATAAAGAAAGAAAGAAAGAAAGAATAAATTCCAATTAAAGAAAGAATGACAGAAAGAAAGAAAGAAAGAAAGAAAGAAAGAAGAAAGTAAGAATTAATCTTAATTAAAGAAAGAAAGAAAGAAAGACATAAAGAAAGGAATAATAAATCTCAGTTAGAGGAAAAAAGACATAATTAAAGAAAGGACAACTAAATCCCAATTAAAGAAAGAAAGAAAGACATAAAGAAAGGAAGAATAATCACAGTTAAAGAAAGAAAGAAAGACATAATTAAAGAAAGAAAGGACAACTAAATCCCAATTAAAGAAAGAAAGAAGAACGTAAGAATTAATCTTAATTAAAGATAGAAAGAAAGAAAGACATAAAGAAAGAAAAAATAAATTCCACTTAAAGAAAGACATAAAGAAAGAAGTCATGAAGAACGAAAGAAAGACATAAAGAATGAAAGAAAGTATAAATCCCAATTAAAGAATGAAAGAAAGACATAAAGAATGAAAGAAAGTATAAATCCCAATTAAAGAACGAAAGAAAGACATAAAGAATGAAAGAAAGTATAAATCCCAATTAAAGAAAGAAAGAAGGAAAGACATAAAGAAAGAATAAGTCCCAATTAAAGAAAGAAATATATAAAGAAAGAAAGTATCCTAATTAGAGAAAGAAAAAAGACATAAAGAAAGAAAGAAAAAATCCGAATTAAAGAAAGAAAGAAGCAAAGTCAAATAAAAAGAATAAGTCCAATTAAAGAAAGAAAGAAAGACATAAAGAAAGAATATATCCCTATTTAAGAAAGAAAGACATAAAGAAAGAAAGGCATAAAGAAAGAAAGAAAGAATAAATCCCAATTTAAGAAGGAAAGATATAAAGAAAAAATCAGTCTCAATTAAAGAAAGAGAGAAATATAGGAAGAAAGGATGAAAGAATAAATCCCAATTAAAGAAAGAAAGAAAGATATAAAGAAAGAAAGCAAGCAAGAAAGAAAGAAAGAAAGAAAGAGAGAAAGAAAGAAAGAATAAATCACGATTAAAGAAAGAAAGAAAAGCATAAAGAAAGAATAAGTCCTAATTAAAGAAATACATAAAAGAACATAAAAAAGAAAAACACAATCTCAATAAAAGAAAAAAGAACGACATAAAGAAAGTAAGAAAGAATAAATCCCAATTAAAGAAAGAAAGCTATAAAGAGAGAAAGAAGAAAAGAATAAATCTCAAATATAGAAAGAAAGACAAAAAGAAAGACGAAATCCCAATTAAAGAAACACATAAAGAAAGGAGGAAAGACTAAATCCCAATTAAAGAAAGACAAAGAAAGGAAGGAAGAATAAATCCTATTAAAGAAAGAAAGATATAAAGAAAGAAAGAATAAATCTCCAATTCAAGAAAGAAAGAAAGAAAGAAAGAAAGAAAGAAAAAACAAAGACATAAATGAAGAAAGACTAAATCTCAATTAAAGATAGATAGAAAGAAAGACATAAAGTAAGTAAGAATAAATCTCCAATTCAAGAAAGAAAGACTAAATCCCAATTAAAGAAAGAATGAAAACATTTGTAAAAGAAATGGCTAAATCGCCAGTCTGAGTCAAGTCAGGTTAATATAAAAATGTCGAACAATAATAAATTAATCATAGCCCGTACAGCACTCACCTCAAGCAAATGGCGCGACTAAATATATAAGTATCAATAATCGATTTTATGTTTCCTGGGCTATTAATTGAAGAATTTCATTTATGGTAACAGCAAAACATTTCAAACTGTCAAGGAAGATTGTGGGATAGTTTCTTTCCACGCCGCCACAATTTCACATTAACATCTACTATTTTTTTCTTTCCTGAAGACATCTTTATCTAAATTCGCTCAAAATTATCACACTATAAACTCTGGGTACCGCCAGTCGTCTTATCTGAACAGAAGTTAGTGGACACTATGGACTCATAGTAAGAAGAGATTAAATTAAAGGCGTAAAACAAAGGAAAGACAATTTTTGAAAAAGAAAAAAAAAATAATAATATTCATTTTATGTTCGTCGTTTATTTTGCAAGTGTTTTACAAGTATTCTCTTCGAGAAATTGCTTTTTTTAATTACACGTCGATTCACAACCCTACGTATATAGCGGTCCTATTTTTTGTTTTGTTTGTTTTGATGTTCCCCCTATATAAGGCCTGTGAGCCACTCAAAGCAGACGTTTATAGAGTAAAAGGCACAGCTTAAGCGGATATGCGGAAGATAATGATTAATCCTGAACTTGAACAGGTTAAGATTTAGTGATCTGTTGAGAGTCGGTTCCACAAAGCGCTGATCCGTAGGTAGAAGATAGTGCAGTTGAATTAACATCTCATCAATGGAATATGAAGCTAATGAGAGTCGTTCGCTACCATGACGTACCACAGTGGGTCTTAGTCGTGAAGGTTAGAACAGGTGGAACTAAAGAATATAACTCCCCGGAAGACGCATTTGTCCTGGGTACGACGATAAACTACATCCGGCAGCAAGACCTCTGATCGTGAGATTGGAGGTTTTCAGGAGCGTGGAAGCATCTCTTAATTGCTGTTCTTTCCAGGGACATCCTGGCCCGAGGTGGTAGCACCTATTAGGGTCCCTGTTATGGGCAAATAGATAACTCCTGAACTGGGGTCAAAACACTATGAAAGTATAAAAATAGATTTTTGATATGCATTTTTGAAGAAATATATTTTTATATTACCAGCAACACATTTTTGAAAAAAAAATACCAGCAATACATTTGACTCTAGACAAAAACCCTCTTTACAAAATCACGTCAATGAAACGAACTACAAACTGATTTCTTACAAAGAATATATATTCTATTCATTCTAAAAATCTTGTCGACCTTAAATAACTCATTGAGGTGTTCATAAGCAGTAAAAACAAAATAAATTAAACCAAGCCAATCAGCACTGCAATTTAAAATATTAAAGATGGTTAAGTCCCAAACAAATCTCTAGGAAAGTATAAAAACAACATTTTATAGTAAAAAAAAATCAGCAATACATTTTATATAAAGTTACCAACAATACTTATCTATAACAAAATTACCAGCAATACATTTTTAACGCAAAATGACCAACAATACATTTTATAGTATAATTGCCAACAATACATTTTATTTGCAGCTGAAGGCATAAAATTGTGTCTAAATTATTATTATTTAGATTTCGGAATTAAATAATCGATAGAGGTTGATATGCCGCTAAAGAAAAATCAACCGGATCGTCGGAACGCTCTCTATAAAAATAGCGATATAGGTTCTCGGGTGTGAAAAAATTTGTCACCCACGTCATTCATTACCCACAAGAACACGGAGACGCGTCGGGACTCTATTGTGGCAGGAAACGTAATTTAAATTTTAATAAAATATCGAATTAGCGCAATGGTGGCGTAATCATATTATAAGGGGATTACACTTTTTTATTTTAAAAAAATATTTGACATTTAAAATAAACGGGATTTATATATATATATATATATATATATATATATATATATATATATATATATATATATATATATATTAGTTATATGTCTATATTTCTGAGATGAGGTATTGCAATTATCTACATTATTTAGTTAAGAAATATTAGTTATATGTCATAATGAGCATATATATATATATATTTTATATATATATATATATATATATATATATATATATATATATATATATATATATATATATATAATCCATAAACTGTTTCTATGTATCAGTGCTCATCAGTGTAGCCCTACATCCGATTGCCTTAAGTCAGGATCGAAATTCGACTGATTTGCAGAGAGGAGGGTGAATTTTTGCGTATTTATTTTCGAATAAACACGCCAATGACTCAGAGTACGTAATTCATGGAAGAGCTTTGCATTATCAGAAGTAGCAGTAACTGTTTACAAATTCACACTTTGCCTCCAAAGTGCTAGACAGAAATTTTAATTTTTCGTTGGCTAATATATTGTCATCCACACACACACACACACACACACACATATGTATATGCTCTCTGCGATCGACAAACAACTAAATATGTTAGCTCTATCACTGATAATGAGCACTTTCCACTAAGTAAGGCTCATATTTAAGATATAAATAATATATATATATATATATATATATATATATATTTTACACACACATATATATATGCTCAATATGGCTTATAATATTTTATATATGTATATATATAATATTCTATATTTGTATATATATAATATATATATTATTATATATGTATATGCAATATACATATATTATATATGAATTATATATATAATATATATATATTATACATTATATATGAATATATATATATATATATATACAATATATATATCATGAATTATATATATATATAATACATGTTATATATAATATATATATTATAAATGAATTATGTATATATATAAATTATATATTATATATGAAATATATATTATATATAATATATATATATGAAATATATTTAATGTATATATATTATACAGTGTAACCCGGATATAAGAGAGTTGTCGGGCCGGAAAAGAAGTCTCTTATATCCGGGTTTCTTTTATATCCGGGTTTGGTCTATTTTATATACATTAACACAGGCTCTAATTTGGGACCAGAGAAAGTCTCTTATATCGGGCTTCTCTTATATCCGGGTCTCTTAAATCCGGGTTACACTGTATATATAATATATATTATATATATATATATATGAATTATATACATATAATATATATATATATGAATTAAATATATATATATATATATATATATATATATATATATATATATATATATATTTTACATTTGACTTACTCACGTATGTGAGCGACGTCCAAATTTATTAGTAGCTAGTATAATGCATTCGTCACTACGTTTGGTTCACGAAAATAGAAATTATTTATGACTTAGTCAAATAATATCACCTTTACATAATCTGCTACACTCTGTCTGAATGCTTTCGCTTATAAAATCACCTCAAATAACATTCAGTAATAACACGCTATTTTTTTTTAATGTTTAATACACATTCGTAAAAGAAAAAAGATGGCGCTGGTGCATCGTACGAATCATGCTTTCCCCCTGTATGTCTGTGTGCCTACCTTTGTCCTACAAACATATGACATTGTACGTAGCCAATAATAATAATAATATCAACTTTTCAATAACTCACAAGGCTATCATAAAAAAGAACAATGAAAGGCGTAGACACTGTGATGGTCACGAACTCTGTCTATTGCCTGTACGTTTCACTGTCAGTGTGTCCCGGTCTCGTTTGGATTTCTTTCCTTTTCTCTTTGGATTTAAAAGTCCTCACACAATTAAGCTAAAAAAATCAGCGTGTACGACTTAATCTTATTATGCAATATATATATATATATATATATATATATATATATATATATATATATATATATATATATATGTGTGT